ATATATATATATATATATATATTATTTATTTATTTATTTTACGGTGCCGGTTATTGTGAGTACAACACATTCAGCCAACAGGAGATGAAAATTTTTAGATTTCTCCTTGAAGTAAATCAGACCAGTCCTTCTGTGTTTGTGCCAGATATCTGTCCACTAAATTCTATGGCAGATATCTGTCTGTTAGCCAGTGTCCTTCTTGGCCTATTTTTCTTGGCCTATATTTCTTATGTGACCAGGATGGTTTTCAGCCCCAGTGTCGGTGTATTTCTGCTCCACAAACAATTTCCAGGACCTACGCTAGCATAAGAAACAATCACTTCACGCCTGAATAGTATCTCACCAATTACATTATCTCCAATGATTTGATACAGGTAATGAAATCCTTTTGTTTTTAAATCTATCTTGGATTAAACATTTATGGCACCTACACAGTGGACAAAAACACAAAAATGCCCTCTGCCTCTAATGAAAGTTTAATGGAATCTGCTCAGAGTAGCATTTGCGTGGCCTGAGCTCTGGGTAGGTGTGGGGCTGCCATCACTAGCCCGTGTTCCAGATGGCTCTCCTCGCCACTCAGGCTGCTCCCCGCACCTGAACAGCTTTCTTCTTATCCTCAGAATCCTCGCTTATCTGAATGGATCCAGAGATCCCAGTCCAGGAACAAAGTCCCCTAGAGCTGGATTTAAATGAAATTACTAGGAAAATTCTGTTTCTCGACAAATGGAGGGGAATCTTCAGGTAAGAATCACAGGTAAGAGGTTCTTGCCGCATGACACGTTTCAACAATAGACTTACGTTTAAAATGCTTCCCAAATATCTATTTCTTGAGGGAGACTTCCCTAGCAAGGCAGGATCTAGGGAGGTGTGAGGAAGTAAGGTTTGAATGGCCTGAGTAATTTACTTGATGTTTTCTCCCTCACTTATAGGTTGGGAAACAATGACACAACTCCTCAGGTAATTACTTTCTCAATGTGCTTTTTTTTTTCTCTAGTTGCTTCTTCAAACAATAACATTAAATAACATAATTCACAATTATTCAATGCACATAACATCACACAGGTACTGGCATTTATTGTGTGAAAATGTAAAGCTAGAAAGCCCATGGAAGATTAGTTTTTTCCTTCATAAATTTCTCTCCCTACTTTTAAGAGCTACTTTTTACCATTAAGCACACCTTTAAGAGAAAGTGATATTAGAATAAAAAGTTCCTACATTTGTGAATCAAAGCTACATTGTAACAACGTAATGAGCTGAGTGTGGTCCCTAAAGAAAAGTAGCTTTGAAAATACTAATCTTTATATCTTTATAGGCTTCTGAAGATTTGTTTTCACTTGCTGGTTATTTTGTTGTTGTTTTGTTTTGTTTTGTTTTGTTTTGTTTTGTTTGGGGAAGTTTTAGTTTTATTTTATTGTTGTTGTGTTAGCTGCCCTGGAACTCTCTTTGTAGACCAGGCTGTCCTCAAATTCACAGAGATACACCTGCCTATGCCTCCCGAATGCTGGGATTAAATGTGTGAGTTTTCCTTACTGTTTTTAATTAAGGGAAATAAAATTGTATTCAGATGTTGAAAAGGCATTTTTCTATCTCTCAGACAATGTAGAATGAAAGATGTTTGTATTCCATACAGCCTGAAAAAAATAAGAAGGTAGGGACTTTGAATTTCAGGATGCATTTCAGTCACTGGACCAACACAGTCCAAAATGTTAAGGCACAAAATGCTCAGGCAACTGAACTGTTAATATTAACTACAGTGCTAAAGCACCTTATTTCAGGTAACGTGTACCCAAAGCCTTATTTTTTTTCTAAAGCCCCCTTGGTCATAGTCTAAATTAGAATCAGAAAGATAATGTTTCTACTTTAGTTCTGGAAATACTAAATTTTTATAGTTACCTCTAGGGAGATGGAACACTCAAAAGATAAGACAATTTTTGAAAGGAAGGAGTAAATAAATGTCAAGTTATGGTTTTACATAGGATGGGTAAGCCCACTGGTATAAATGTGAAACTTTTCCATTAGGGCTACAAAATTGATCTCATCCCAAAAGTCGTGAGATGCTGATGGTTCAGACGCTGTGTTCACGAGATAAGAAAGCATCCTCACCTCCAGGAATACAGAAGAATTAAGAAAGCAGTGTCCTTCATGATCTAGCTACCAGTGGGGAAGCTGTTTTCACAACACTGGTATAGGAATGAGTGAACTGAAAGAGTTGATGTTAGCTGACACACAAATCCAGAAGTATCAGTCAATAAATGGAAAAGTGATTTTTTTTTTTAAGAGAAACCATACACAGATGTAGCCCATGGCAGCTCAGTCTCCAAGTGGGTACCCTAGTAAGAGGAACAGGGACTGTCTCTGATATGAACTCAGTGGCTGGCAATTTGATCACCTCCCCCTGAATGGGGAGCAGCTTTACAAGGCCACAGAGGAAGATGATGCAGCCAGCCCTGATTAGACCTGATAGGTTAGGGTCAGATGGAAGGGGAGGAGGACCTCCCCTATCAGTGGACTGGGGGAAGGGCATGAGAGGAGAAGGAGAGAGGGAGGGTGGGGTTGGGAGGGGACGAGGGAAGGGGTACAGTTAGGATACAAAGTAAATACATTGTAATAAATAAAATAAATAAATAAATAAAATTTAAAAAAAAATTTTAAAGATATGGGTAAGTGTGGTAAGTTTCACATCCCCTTGAGAGGGAATAAGAATCAATGGGGGAGGCAATTCTTTGATTGTCCAGTTAATAAGATAAGGATAACCTGGCCTAGACTGATAACTCACTCAACACTTAAAATGCTGACATCTCCAAACAAGACATGGTGACATTTACATTCTCTAAAAATAATTTTTCTTTCTTCTTTCTTTCTGTCTTTCTTTTTTCTTTCTTTCTTTCTTTCTTTCTTTCTTTCTTTCTTTCTTTCTTTCTTTCTTCCTTCCTTCCTTCCTTCCTTCCTTCCTATTTTCTTTCTTTCTTTTTCTTCCTTTCTTTTCTTTCTTTCAATTTTTTTTTTTTTGAGTCAGGGTTTCTCTGTATAACCTTGGCTGTCCTAGAGCCTCTTTGCAGACCAGGCTGGCAGGCCTCAAACTCACAGAGATCTCTAAACATAATTTGGAAGCACAGTCTTGATAGCATTAATTATATTTCCATAGTTACATTTCACCCTCCCGAGCCCATAAAGTTAGGGGAAATCCCTTTGACACAGACATTGGGCCTTTTCAGTTATTTTACTACTGTTTATCACAGTTTTAGGCATCTTTAAAAATGATACAGCATCTTCTGAACACTGGAAGACTTAAAGAGAGGTCTTCACTAGCTGTTTGCTTTACTTGGGGGTGACATTTCACACAGAATCACGATGGCACCCATATGTCTGCTGAGGAAACTGGAGACAGATCCAGAATGCTTCGCCCCAGAGGACAAGGACAGTTGCTATCCAGTGGATTTTGCTCTATTCCCAGACTCACCATCCTCTCTTCAAAACCGGATGGTTTTCCTATCTCCCCATCAATGGCCACAGTAAGTACAGCTTGTCAATTAAACATGAAATGAAATGTGATCTTCCCCCAGACAGCAACACTGGGGAATCTGATCTCCTGTCGTGTGACGGTATTATCGAAGATGAGACTACAGATGGCAATTATTGGTAAAAGGAGTATATAATTAAAATGACTTATTTATGGTACTTGTGAAGGGCACTGGTGGTAGCTGTCTTTTCCTCACAGACTCCATGTCTCTTTACTTCCTCAATCTGACAGTTATATTTGAGGCAGGGCAGACATGCTAATGGTTTGTTACTTAGCATACACTGGGACAGACCCTCTAAGTGGCAGGTGGATGAGTGCTACAAATGTGTAAAAATAATGTAGACAGGGCTGGAGGGATTCCTCAGCAGTTAAGAGCACTGACTGCTCTTCCAGAGGATCCTGGTTCAACTCCCCACACCCACATGGCAGTTTGCAACTGTCTGTCACCAATGTCTGTCACCTTCACACAGACATAAATACAGGCAAAACACCAATGCACATAAACAATTATTTTTAAAAATAATGTAGATAAGAGAGGGCCCTTCTTGCGAGTGGATAGGAGGGAAAGAGAGAAAGAAGTTTCCTAGGTCTGGTCTTAGAACAAGGCATTGATCTCAGAAGGAAACAGTTCAGGGAGCTATCAATTAATACATAGTCTTAAAAAGAACTCGACAGAGTAGGCATGGTGGCACACTTCTTTAACACCATCACTCAGCAGGCAGAAGCAGATCTCTTGAGTCTGAGGCCAGCCTGGTCTACACAGTGAGTTCAGGACAGCCAGTACTACATAGAGGGTGAATGTCAAAAACAAACAAACAATCCAACATTTGAGGCTATAAGGTGATCTGAAAACCTCTGGGCTCAGAGAGCATTTATTAAGTGCAAGTCTTGAACCTGGCAAGAGTGAGGTAGCAGCAGAAGCCTAGCCAGGGAATAAAAACAGAGTGTCACCCCATTGGATCAAACAAGCCAGCATTGGAGGCAAGATCCTGACAAGTGTCAGAAGGAGCTTCTCTTATGGTCAAAAGGCATAACTGAAAGCTGGTAAGCAAGGGAAGGTTAAGCCAGGGCAAAAGCACTGACTAGGGTAGGAGCTTTCTCTGATTAGGGTCCTTTAAATCATAATGGCACTCCAAGGCAGTGTCCTACACTCTCTCCATCCTCCAAAGGTCTGTGCCACATTCTAGAACCTCAAGGCTTAAGGTGAGAGTTAGAAGAAGCAGTCCCTTCAAAGACTTGTGCACAGCCCAAGTATCTTGTGCACAACCCAGCACATACATGAAGCCACAGTTTGGACACTCTACAAGGACCCACTTGAGAGCCATGAGCAGATACTAAAACCTCTCCTGGATATGCCAAACGGAACTATCACAGAAATTCTTCATTGGGCTTCTTGGCATCAAGTCCAGCTGTGCTTTCTCATAGATCCATCTCCCTCTCAGCTTTTTTTTTCCTCTCCCTGGTTCATAGAACAGCAGAGCTCTTGTCAGACCCAAGATGCTCTTCTTTACTTGTGGCTGAGACACCTGAAATACAGTCTCAACTTCTGCCTTACACCTCCAGTGAGCTGTTCCTCTTTCTACCTAACAAACGGTCGTGTGGAATTGTGGGAGTGCTGTAGGCCTCAGAAGTTATGAAGCCTATGCTGAGCTGTAGTTCAGAAGCAAGTACAGCCTATGCATGTCTAGTGCAATACCCAAAATACTCTAAAACCCGAAACTTTCCTGAGCACCGTCATGACAAGAGGAAAGTCCCACACCTGACCTGAGAGCTGCAGTAAAAAAAAAAAAAAAAAAAAAAAAGCAGGCAAACTAAATGTCACACCAGCTATCTTTGTGCAATGGGCATAAGATTTACATAAACTGTAACTAGCTTCATATTCATATTGAGCCCTGTTCCCCATACACACACACAAACACGTAGACGCACATGAACACATGAGTCTGCACACATAATATTCCAAATTCTGAAACACATGACATCCCAGAGCATTCTGGATGAGGGTCAATCAGCTTTTACATGCACTTTTACCTGATAAGATAATGTTCTTACATCTGTAAGGAATTTCTATCTATATTATCATTTTAAAATGTATATGTTGGGACGATAGACCATTGTTTATGTAAAAAAGAGAGAGAGAGAGAGAGAGAGAAAATTGTGATTCTATACTGGTATTTGCCTGTAAATAAAGAAGAAAATTTCACAAGGCTTCCTAGGCCACAAAGGGAGGTAGGTTGTGTACAAGGAGCCCAATGGGAGGAAGCCTTTTTACATTTTGTACCCTGGCTTTTGAGCCACACAATGTACTGTCTATTTTTAAAAACACACACAAATTTTAAAAATAAAAAAAGCACTCACAGATGTTTGAAAGCCTTGTGTTGGGGAGGCAGGAGAGCACAAATCCGAAAGCTCCTCTAACCAGCAATCACAGAGGCCAGGGGGAAGCTCTCCCCATCTTCCCCAGGGCAGTTCTTTCCCTTCGGAAGAGGCTGTAAAACAAAAGATTCAAACCAGCGCAGTGGAAACAGAGTTGATGGAGTGTTAAGAAAGTCCCAGAAGTAGAGAGAATTGATTTTTCTTTAAAAAAATGAATTCAGATTTATCCCCATTATGTGGCCCAGATGCTAGTGTGTCTCTGAATAACAGCAGCATTCATTAAGCACACCTTGGGACTTCACCATGGAGCCTTGGGATTCTGAATGTGCCTGTTCCAGGGAGGAGTCTTGGAAGCTTGACCAGTTCTAATCAGCATTTCAACAGTGCAGCCACCTGGCAAATTATCAGAGGCTCTGAGTGAAAACACTCGCTGAGTGTCTTTTGTGTGGCTCTGCTGCTCTTGATACATGATGCTTTCTGACAGGGCACAGGCTGTCTCATTGCTGGGAATCCCCACAGGAAATGGGGGTGGGGGACAGCAACCCTCCCACCAGCTCTATCTTCACCTCTCCTGTTTCTTACTTTTTGTTGCCTTTTGTCTCAGACTAGCGCTTTTTCTTTTCCCTTCCTGAACTTCCATGGCAGGCTTGGCTGGATGGAATGGTCCAACAGCCCCAAGGGAAACGAACCAAGTCATGACCACTGGGATCTTATCCAGTCCTGTCCAATAGCCTTCCATCTCTTCAGCCCCAGATCCTCAACTTCTTCCACTTCCAGACCCTTCTCCCACACTCCAGCCTGGAACACATTCTGGTGACCGCTTATGTCAGCACCTGTGTTTCTGGCTGTAAGATGGCAGAGCCTGATGCATCTGTAAGAGGTCTGGTTCCGAGTCAGACCTAATTGGGAGTTATTAATTCTCTCCCTCTGCACATCCCTCCGAGGCATCGTAGGACCCACTAATGATATCTGCTATGAACCTTCCATCCTGCTTTCTGCCCATGAACTTCAACTCTAGGGTTTCTATGAATAGGGCACCTCACTATCAACAGGGAAACCCTTACCCTGGGTTCTGCTGGGTTTGAGCAATAGAGATCCCTAAGATGACACTGGTGGCAGGAAAAGAAGAAAGTCAGGAGGGGTAAGAATGCTTCTTTTTTTACCTCAAGCTCCCACTACCTTCCATCTAGAGGTCATAAATTATGACTCCCCGCTGCTGTGTTATGGGTAGCCTACCAGAGATGACCACTCAGACACAGTTTATAGCCAGTAGAAAGTCTTATTCAGCCAGCTGGATCACACCCAGGTATTTGGGAATCTAAGTGTGATCCTGAGTGTCCAGAGCACAGAGTTTTGAAGGCACATCCTGGCATCTTGCTCAGCAGCTGCAGGAGTGTGGTGGGGGTGAGGGGAGGGGGCTTTGCAGAAGCAAGCTTTTTAGCAGAAGCTGAGTGGTTAGGAGTTTCCAAACAAACAGGCTAATATAAGTTAGCTAGGTCATTGTGACCTTTGGTTCCTAGAATGAATTAGGCAATATTCCATCCATGAGATCAGATTCTAGTTAAACCTGAAATGGCCTCAACAAGAATACAAGATGTAAGAGTTTTTGCACTGTCTTGCCTTGTCGAAGTTGGTCTCCCAAGACTCTGTAAGAGTATGAACCACTGTGGTGACCCCTCCCCCTGCCCACACGTTTATAAACAGTCCTGTATTTGTAACAAAATCCCCTCTCTACTGGCTCCATGTTCCATACTACTGACGATGATTGTGACAATGACAGTGATCTCATTCACACAAGTGCCACACATACATATTCAAACAGGGAGAATGAAGCACCTGTTTGAATGTGTATGTTGCAAACACTAGAAAACTAGCAAATGAAGATGGAAACACTGTAAACTGTGCTTCATCATGTTGAATAATAATAAACATACAGTCATCTTTTACAGCCATTCGCCTCTAGTTCTAGGCAGCAAAACATATGAATATCATTAAGGGCATATCAGATTAATTTTATCATAAATTATATCGCATATGAAAATGAACCTGTAAGATAGGCCATCTTCATTAGGCTGGCTGTGCGGGAGGGGCTCCAGCTCTCTGCTCCAGAGTACCCCAGAGGTACAATTGGAGGGTGGTGCTAAATTGAGGGTGGCAGCCAGCAACAGCAACAGGAAGTCTGGCTGGACTTGCAGATGGTTTTAAATTGAATTTGAATCCTAAGCTTTCTCAGTCTTAATTTATACGTGGCTGCTCCTCCCTCCTTCGTGCTGGTCGATGGTATTTTCCCATCTGTATTGGGGCTTTCTTTCACACTGCACATATAATTGCATACCAATAAGCAGTGTTTTTATAAAGATGGTAACATTCTGCACTAACTCAGCACTCATGGTTCCCAAAGCCCCTTTTTATTCTTCTGTCTCAAAAACCCACATGATATGGGATGAAAGCAGCTGTCCCACCTCTCAATACAGAAATAAGAATGTTTCCATGGTCAACATGATTAGAGCTAGTTGGAGCTCTCAGTCCTTGGGTTGGAAACTATTAATCCCATAGATCTGAGGAGGACAACTGACCCAAATAATAGCCAAATTAATTTAAGCGAGCAATTAGTCAAAGCAAGCTTTCTTTTTTAAAATTTATGTACAGAAGCTATCTCTCTTTAAAGACAGGGTTGAAGAGATCAGCATTGGACATGGGTAAGATAAATGCTTTTGCAGTCCAGGAGCAGGGGGTTTCCTGGACTTTCCAATGAGGGACTTTTGTATTGGCAGACAAATAGGCAGAGTTACAGAAGCAAAACATAAGCATAACAAGGTGGTCATAACAGCAGATTATCATAATAACCTTTTGAAACAAAGGCATGATTGCCATCTCTGGAACAGGTTGTACAGAATCATTTGAACTTAAAGTTACAGGTAGGACATAGCGCAATCCTTGAGAAACAGGGGTTTAATCATAAACAGGAACGAACCTAGTTTGTCTTTACTATAAGATGGCTTTTATTTATTTATTTTTTTTCTTTTTTTGGTTTTTTAAGACAGGTTTCTCTGTGTAGCCTTGGCTAGACTCACTTTGTAGATGAGGCTGGCCTTGAACTCACAACAATCTGACTCCCAGAGTGCTGGAATTACAGGCCTGTGCCACCATGCCCGGTTACAAGATGGCTTAAGCCTAACACAGAGGCAGGCTTATTAAAGTCCTTCTTCTGGGCAATTAGAAGTCTGTGGATGGGGAAACACTTCTCCTTAGTTTGTGGTGCTTCTTCTGCGCTCACTGTGGGCCAATGCCCTCTTTGCCACAGTATGCCCGTTTTGTAATCCCAAGAGCAGCATTTATTTCCAGCTGCTGGGCATGATTGCTGCTTTTCCTTGCCATACCCTTGTCCTGAGACCCAGCTCAGAAAGTTTTTCTACTGCTCAGACCTGGCTCCCAAGGAAATGTGCACACTTCTAGCCTTTTTAAAGATAAACTTTTCTTGAAGGCAGACATATAGATGGATAGGAAATCAGCTCCAGCTGTGGAACCAGGCCCTGGGCTGGCATGGGAAGAGTGTGTTAGATTCTCCTAAATGTCCTTCTGAAACCCCAAGGAACCTGCTCTGGACCAGCTATGCTCTAGAGCCTGTTTGATCCTGTTCTGTAACTGGCTCCAAAGCCCTCAGTATATTTAAAGCCCTCTGGGATCAGGTCACAGGTGCTTTCCATTCTCAGTGTCCACACTTTGTGTCACTCTTTGACCCCTCTCCCCAATCTCTCACTAGTCCATGCTAGGACATCCTTGACATGAGCCTGTCTTCCTCTCTTTTAGACTGTCTCACAGTGTAGACGAGTACTTCTGTTTCTAGAGCTGTGGGAATAAATAACATGCTACAGAGCTGTTATCTTCGAGGAAGTCATCCCCTCCTCCATCTGGCAGGCCACGAGAATAGACCCAGCAAAGAACAGTACACAGCCATACCTCTCTCCTTCAGGATGAAGAGCCAGGACAGGGCAGCAGTCTCTAACTATCATCCTTAACCCTGTTGAACTTTTATTTTATTTCTTTGATGACATATGACAAGTGATTTTGCTTTTCACCGGAGAAAGTGGTAAAAAGTGTCCTTTTAAAACAAGCATTTATTAAATTACAAAAAGCAGCCTAATCTAAAATGAAAATATTGAATAGTACTTTTACACAAAACAAACTAAAACATAAAGATGGAACATACAGAATCAAAGTGTGGGCCATATTAGAGGAATGGGGTGCAATCCCAATGTTTGTGCTAGCTTGGTGGCTGCAAATGCCTCCCTTCTCTGCCTTCAGTTCCCCAATCTAGATAAAAGGAGGATGGTAGGCATCTTAGTTTCTCTTGTTAAGTTTGGCTCGTAGCATCAGAGGGTCTCATCCATCACGGTAGGGGATATAACGACAGATCAAAACAGTCAGAAAGCAAGGGCCATGATAAAACACTATGACAGAAGCAGCTCAAGGGGAAAGGGTTTATTTCTGCTTACAAGGTTGCTGTGTATTATGGCAGGAAAGTTAAAACATCAGGAGCTTGAAGCAGATGGCCTTAACCCATCCCAAACTCAGAAGCAGAAACGTGAATGCTGTGGTCAGCTCACTTTCTCCTCTGTATACAGTCCAAGACACAGATAGAATAAGGGGGGGGGGGGAATAGGAAAAATATCCAGGCTCCAATATTCTTCCATCCATCCTTCCTTGCTAGGTTCTATCTGCCATGTCTTTTCCCCACAAAAATAGGATTAAACCTTCTGATAACATGAGAGAAATGATAATTTGTTATGACAATAAAACCAATCCTTCCATTTGTGGAATTGGTTTAAGAAAAGCTGGTTCTCTCTCTCTCTCTCTCTCTCTCTCTCTCTCTCTCTCCCTTCTGAAAAGTTTCTCACAGATCTCAGTGTGTTATAAAGTACCCAGGAAAGTATACAAGATGACTTGGTGAATATCATCGAAATTTCTTACTATTGTATTGTACTGCTGATAGAAATATGGGATCCTGTCTATTTCACCTCCTCCCCTGTATCAAGAGAAAAATCTCAACTATCTTTGAGTCACAGATATTGGACAAGAGGCACAAGAGCAGAGCAGTGGCATGTGCTGGAACTGGCTGACAGTGTAATCAAGACACAGAGACACAACCAGGCACACTAAATTTTCACAATAGTGTCCTAAGAGAACCTGATGTGAAAGTTTTGCCCAGGGCTTTATATGATGAAAACTGGAACTCAAGTCTGAGGCAAATCTAAACATAGATGAGAACAAGGCAGGATGATTTCACCAAGAGGGGTGTGACCGGGAGGTATTCTCTTTGGCTGAGTCATTTACTTCGATGTTCTTTTTACCCCCTTCCCCTTTTCAGATGCTGCAAAGAAGCCTCTTTGGAGACACTAACCAAGTCCTCAGCAGTGACTGGAGAAAGGCACATTTCAAGTTCCACGATCCTTTCTCTGACCTGGCCTTTGCTTTACAAGTAGAAAAGGTGACAGATGGCTCAGTCCTTCCCATGCCCATCTGTGTTTCTTGGTGGGGGCATGTGTCAATCAAATGTAGAAATGAATGTGTAACTACAAATGAGGATTTTTAAAGTTACCAAATATTGGTTAGGTTCTAACAAAGCCTGCCTGTCTTTATTCCTCCAGCCCTTCTCAGGCCTTACAGTGTTGCTTCTCTCCATGTTTCAAGCCCCCGTAAAGATTCCCAAGGCAGAAAGAAGTCTAGAAACACTTTTTGGCTTGTTTTGAATGTCAGTAATTCATATCAGAAATCACTAGTCATACCCAAATTTCAGGAGCTCGCCAGCTGGTTTCTTGCCTCCTTCCAATGTAACAGTGTGGTATGAAGTGATGGCAGAAAGGAGAGGACCTTGATCCCCGGGCACAGGCTGAGGGCACCACCGAAAAGTAGTCACTGTAGATTCTGGCTTGGTGATGGCACACAGCTATAGCACACACAGGAGGTGACCCAGAAGAGTATGGTCCCTTAGCTAAGCCTCAGGAGACACCAGGAAGGGAAGGTTGCAGAGAAGCAAGGACAAAGCAACATCCAGTTCTGAGATTTATTTCCTGTAATGCTGGCATGGAGCTTCACTGGAACAGCAAAGCCCAGCTCCAGCCTTCCTACCTCACTGTTCTTTTTACCCACTTCAGGGAGGAGCCCAGAGCATTCAGATGGCAGTACAAGGATCTATCATCAAATACCTACTGTTTACTAGAGAGGGAAAGGACCACGACCTTCACAGGTGAGAGGACTGGTGGTCAGCACTTGAAAGAGTGGCCTGAGGACCTAGAATCCTTACATGCTAAACAGCCAGAATGAAAGTCTCAGTTGCTTCAGGAAGGATATGTGCCCCACAAGACAGAAATGGCTCAGGTTCTCTCAGAGGGCCTGGGTTACCTGGGGAGGGCGCTCCTGAGGTTGCACTCAATGTTCACCTGCAGAGTGGGCTTGGCAGACTCCCGTGTTCTATTGCTGACCACTTGCCAAGTAAAGTGAAACACCAGATTCCGTGTTATATGGGAGGCCAAACCCAACATCTCTAAGGAGACTCAAGCAGTGATAAAAAATCTGACTAACGAAGGATCCATCTTCCTACTTAACCTGCTGACACAGGACAGTGTTTTGAGTTTGCCCTTTTGTTAAAGAATCAACTCAAACATTAGTTTATTCTTAGAAGCTAATGGACCTCTCTCATCATCCCTATGTTAGCTATTAAAGGAATAAAAATCATCAAAAGGCAAAGTATCTATCTTCCAGCAAAGTAAGTTATCACCCCAAACTGGAGATGAAGGTATAATTCATTCTGAGATCATGAATAGCCACGTTCAGCAGACGCATAGCTCAGGATGTAAATTCTTTATGCAACTGATTTGCTAGGGGAGTGCCCTCGGGAGATATCTGTAAGAGGGTGAAGAAACGGGACAAGGAAGGAGATGCACCTTAGGGGGGGGGTGGTCCCTAGAGATGTCAGTGAGATTCAGGGGGACCAGGGACCACGCTTTGCTCTTCAGTCTGTCGAGATTCACTTAACAGGCAGGGCTGCTATTCCTCCCACCCCAGCCCCCATTGGCTATGGGCCATCCAAAAGGAAAGTACTCAAATCCACTAGAAAAGTTAGAGTCACGTGACATAAGACCCAAAGTAGATCACACCCATCATGTGAGTTCAAGAGATCGGAAACAAAGCACACACCCATAAGCACACAGCTTAGCACTCCGCCTGGGCTGAAAGAAAACACTGAATAAATATAAATGAGCCTTTTCTCCGGGAGCCCTGCTCCATGCAACCTTCCTGAACCTCCTTTGTTACAGGTGTCTTTCTGTCATTCTGTCTGCGCTAGAGCTTTGCAGTTATTCCATCCCAGCAAAGAGCTAGATAAACTATACAAATAACTGGTAGCCACTTTCTGCATTTCTTTGTGCAAGCACATGTTAAATTAAAAAAATAAATAAATAAATAAGCAGAGGAAAGATTAGTCGGGGGTCGGTGCTCAGTGTGATAGTATAGCACAGAGTCTCAGGACCCAGACACCTGAGTGTAGACCAGAGACCTTTCCTTTTAAAGGTGAGCATCCAGAGCCCAGCCTATCTGTATCTCACCCTCCTCTAACATGGGAACAAATCTACTATTGCCCTAAAGCACTTCTGTGGGTTAAATGAGGCATTCTGTGCAAAGCGCTCAGTGCCGCGTGTGATAGCGAAGTGGGGAGCGGACGTCACCTCTTTAAGATGTGACCAGGTGGAAAGGGAGGTGGCGCAAACTGAAGATACATGCGCCTGAGGGCAAGGCACGGGATGAAACGCACCGGCGGTACTTGGGGTTCCATGTGGGAAACGGTTTTGCCAAGTGAGCGTCTGGGAGATGAAACTGGAGGCATTATTTCGGGTTGTACTTGAAAGGACTGTGTCCATCGGGAACAAGTTCAGGGCGACCCATTTTGGAGTTCAGAGACAGGCTGATGCTGCTGAGGAAAAGAATAATCCAAGCAGAAAGCTCAGCACCCTGACATTGCAGGCCGAGAGTGAAGCCAGTGGGCTATCCCCACACTCAGAGAAGGACTCGGACATCTCAGAGGCCAGGTTGCTCATTCCCTCACCGCCTGCCTTTGCAGCTTATGTAACCTGAGCCAGCGGGAGCAGGAACAAGCTCTAGCGGCCGTGCTGGCTGACATCCTATGGGCTGCAGGAGCAGCTCAGAAAGCAATCCTCTGTTTCCTCACCCAAGACATCCAGAGCACTTCGACCTGTGAGCACTCCAGCGACAATTTCATCGAGAGGGTGAGTGCACCGCAGCCCTCGCGTTAGCTGAGCGTGCACATGGTCGTGTAAGCACAGCCCCCACTGATGACCTGAATTAGCCAGAGGCACCTTCAGAGGATGCAAGCCCCGAGGGCTGTAAGTGACCGGAGCAGCCAAAATGGCGGATTTCTCCCATCGTTCACCTTAATGGAGAATATACGGCATTTGGGCTGGTGGGCTTCAGCGTATCTTAGTACCACGTACTCCTAATCCCTGGGTTTGATATGCTCCGCCAAAGAAAGAAAGAAAAAAAAATCCGCATCGCAAATAATCATGAACGGTATTTCTATCTGCTGTCATAAAGATAGCTGAACTCTATCAGGGGAAAATCTGCTTATGGTCTTGTTATTTGATATATCACAGTGATTGAAAATTGAGGGACGTGAGAGGGATGCTGTCACCATCGGCTTCACCCTGTATATTTTATGTGGCCTTGTGTTGGATGTCAGTTTTTAGCAACATGATTTTGTAATGAAACAAAACCTTCCTTCAGGTAATAACTGTGAAATGATATCTCTTAGAGGTGACTTTCATCTTCCTTTTCATTTTTATCTTCAATTCCCTATCTATAGCTCCAGCTGTTTGAATTTTCAGAGAAAGGAGCCACCGAGAAATTCATCTATGATCATTTACAATGTGTAAGTGTTTAAATGTTGAGATAATTCTTTCCTGTGCTACTGATCTTACAGAGATCTTCATTCTTTCATAAAGCGTATTTCTAATGGTGCTTGTTAAGAAAACCAGGTCATTTTTGAAGGCTAAGGAAGGGCAGAAAAAGAGACAGAAGAGGCTGCCTCTCCCCCTCCTCACAGCCTAGAAAGAGGCTGGATCACATGGAGGCCACATATGGATGCCTCCTTTTCTTCAGCTAATAAGTGCCAGAGAATAGCACCTTTCAGGCCTTCTACCAGGATTTCTTTTGAGGAAAGAAAAATGTTAAAGCAGGCTTACCTCATCTAATGAATAACAAACAGAAATGGAGGGAAACTCACCTGTCTGCAAGACAGTCACACTAACTTCAAGTAAGTGACTGACGGCCTCGCAAAGGCAGCCTTCTTTCACCTCCTCTAACGGCACGTTCTACAGAATATGCATTACCTCTTTTCTGCGCTAGGGAAGGGGGGACAAAGTAGTAAAGAATGTGGCAGAGAGTGGAAGGGTTTTTAAAAGACTCTTCTAAAAGAAGATGGGAAAGAAAATGGACCATAATTTTCTTAAGATACCTACAGTGTAAGCAGCAGATAATTAGCAAGCTAACTAAGCTACAGAGAACACGGGCAGCAGCTGGATTTCTGAAACTCATTGCAAAGGCAGTAGAGGCAGAGAACTTAGGTCTGAGTACTTGCCCACACACACTTTAGATGATCTTGGTTAAACTAATGTAGGCAGGGTTTCCGCCAGAGGATCTAAGCTGAGGCTGTAGACACATTTCCCAGTCAAAAACGAAGAACTGGGCAGGCATGGGTAGAAAATGCAGGAAGCCCGTGAGGACTATGCATTGCTGGTAGAGAGGCATGAGAGCCACCTGAGTCAAGCCAACCCAAGCTGGCCATCACTGCTGCCCCACTAAGGAGGAACAGGCACCATGTCCTGAGGGAAGGAGAGCACCTCCTCAAGTGAGGCTGCACAGTGTAAGCAACAGACCTTAATCAAATCCCGCTTACTGTCTTCGGCATCTGTCCCGCGTCCCATTTTATTTAGACAGAGATTTCAACACAGAAACTTAGGGGCTGCTTATGGGCAGGAGGACCACTGTTGCAAGTCCGACTGCCCCCCACCAAGTGAAATGCCAAGGTCCTAGGCACCCTTCCCCTGCCCTGCAAACCTACAGATTGAAGTTCCCAGGAGTGTGACCTCTTTAAAAATGGGTCTTTAAAGACGCCGTCAAGTTCAGAGGAGGTCAGACTGGATCAGGGTGAGCCAGAATCCAATGGCTGGCATTTGGTAAGAGGGAAAAGTTGCAAAGTGCTTCATGGGATGAGTTCCATGGAAAATAGCTAAGGCTGAGAGAGGTCTGAGCAATGGGCCTGCAAGCCAACAGATGCCAGTGACGTCGTCAGCAAACAATGTAGGAAGACTCAGGAAGGGCTCTTTTCCAGGGCCTTCATGGAAGCACCGCTCTGCTCTGATACAGTGTGACAGCAAACCTAGGAAATCAGTATACTGTCTCACATGAGCTGGGCATGAGCCTGCATAGCGCTACAACTCTTCACATCGGAATCTGCACATGCCAAAAATAATCAGAAATTTTCATGTCAGAGTCATGGAATCTGAATTTGTCCCAGAAAAGATGGCTACACTTTTACATCTTCAGTTAACTGGTAGGCTGCTGACCCCAAGAGGAAAACTGTGGTGGGATGGAGGGGGGTCATACCTGAGAAAGCCCTGTGCAGATGTGACTCGGGATCTTGAGATGGGGCAGGGGTGGGTGACTCCAGATTGGACTGACGGGCGTAATTAACCATAGTGTCCATTACAAAGGGAAAGAAGTGTAAGGATAGAGAAAATAACTAATTAGTGGCTTATGAATAAGAGATGAGGACAGATTTAAAGTTAGAAAAAGCCCATCTCCATTAGAACCCAGATCAGATTAGTACGCTCTTTGGTTGTGTCCACTAAAACCCATGCTGGGCTTGGCGCTCTAGACGATGACACAGTGTTGTTTTTCAGCCACTAAGTCTGTGGTATTGTTACAGCAGCAATTAGGTCACTAATATACAACAGCTTTCCAGGTAGTCTCAGGCCCCACCCTGCCTGTTTCTCTTATACCCTGAAGAACACTTATTTGAATTCCTTTCTGCCTCCTGTGCCACTGGAGCCTGTTCTCGGGTCTTCGGATTCTGAGGTCTACCAGATCTCCAGATCTCAGATAGACATGTAGACACATTCATTCACAAAGAAAAATAAATGTGTCTTGATAAGAAAAAAAAAAAATCCTTTCAGTTGTCATACCTTCAAATGAAGCTTTAGCCCTGGACACCCAGAAGGCCAGCAAAGGGGCTACTTTGCAGTGAGAATACTGACAAAAAGTATAAGATAAGGCTAGCCCCAGAGAGACTTGGATTTGATCAGACAGTTTGGATATGATCCACGTGGTCACAAATTACCTTTTGAAAGTTCTAAGCAGATCAGCTTTTAATGACGGACAGTTTCTATGGATCCAAAATATTCCAAAATGTGTACCATACATTTAACCTTTGGAACAAATACCAGGGGAAAAAAACCAATGTAATTTTTGCTGCAAGTTGCAGATAAAATTAAAGAAACCAATGAACAAAACTGTTTATGTGCAGCTGTCAATGCACAGCCAACCAGAGCTGTTTCTGTGAGTCTCCTGTTTCTTCTGGGCTAATGAGGTAACTAGAAAAGACTCACCTAGCAAAGGTGGGATCCAGGAAGACAGCTCCGTGCAGCACCAAGGTTCTTGCTAGGGAACTGTATGTCTTAGCTTTGATTTGAAGAGAATTACTGAATAGAAGTAAAAGAAAGGCTAAGTTGAAGCTGAAGAGACTGTTGGCCCTGTGGGGGTCTTCAAGCAAGGAAGAAGGAAACAACTGAGAGAGAAGATGATGACTCAGGAAAGAAGAGACTCCATGCTCCCAGGGAGGAGGACTAGGAGGACTAGGGAGGAGAAGGCTTTTCTTAGATCTAAGACCTTGAAGTCATACCCACACGTGTGCCCTCTTTCTGAAGTGCTTTTTTTTATATTTAATTTTATTTTTTTCTTATCAGTTACATTTTATTAACTCTGTATCCCAGCCGTGTCCCGCTTCCTCATTCCCTCCCAATCCCACCCTCCCTCCCTCATCTCCACCGTGCCCCTTTCCAAGTCCACTGATGGGGGGGACCTCCTCCCCTTCCATCTGATTCTGTTTTATCAGGTATCTTCAGGACTGGCTGCGAAGCCCTCCTCTGTGGCCTAACAGGACTGCTCCTCCCTTGGGGGGTGGGGAGGCCAAAGAGCCAGTCATTGAGTGCTTTTAAGCAAAGGTGTATGTCTCTTTTTCATAGTTCAAAGGGGAAGGAAGCCATGGTGTCATCATCTTCCTCTACAGCCTGGTGTTCTCCAGAACATTTGAGAGGTAAAATGTCACAAATGTCCACACAGGCCTTGCCTACAGGTTGGGGTCACATATATGTGGACTTTTGGGTAGCAAAATGTCCTCATCCCATATTTTATCCAATGCTTGTTATCTGTCAGCATGTTTATTTTCTTCAGTTGATTTGCCCATATGGGCAGGGAAGGTGTCTTTTGTCAAGTATTTTTGTGAATATTTTATTATCCACAAAAAAAAAAAAAAACCCTCAGATGTCTAATTTTTGTCTATGCCCTGCAAAGTTATCTTCTTGGCACCATGGGAAGTATGAATAAGAGAAGATGAGGCACTGATCTTCTGTGGTTTCCCCTCTGGGAAAGATAACAGATAGACCCAGAAATATTGGACAAAACCCAGGCAGTACTTGCTCAAATTGGTGTAGCGGTAGTATGTCTTGGTAGATTCTAGAGGAGGAAGGGTCCTAGAGTAAGCACAGAAAGTGTCATAGGAGAGGTAGGCTGTTTTCTGGACTCTGAAAGAAATACACAATTTTGAGAGCCAGATAAGGAGTAATGGTTTCTAGGAGAGAAGACTACAAGATCTGAATCAGATCTGAAATCTGTCTTCTATGACAATCACACTTGTGCAGGCTATGCTATTATTTGGTTACTAAGTTTATTTAAATCAACATGTTTCTAAACATTAATATTTGAATTCTTTAAGACATTTGCTATGATAAAGATGTAGTAGTCATGCCTGCACAGGTCTGTAAACCCAACCATTCAGGAGGCTGAGTCAAGGGGATCACAAGTTCAAGGTTTGCCTGGGTTACAGATGGAACTTAAGGCCAGACTGTCTAATTTAGTATGATTTTAATTCAAAATAAGGAGTGAACTGGGGGCTAAAAAGCTGGTAAGAAGGGTCAGCAGGCAAAAGGCACTTGTTACTGAGCCTTCAGACCTGAGTTTGAGCCAGAGAACCCACAGTGTGAGAGTGAATAGAGATCCCACAAGTTGTCCTCTGATGTTCATAAGTATCATGGTTTTATCAAGATAAAACTGGAAATGTAGCTCAGCCATAGGGCACTTGACTTATTTGTATGAGGCCTAAGGTCCAACCCCAAGTATAACAACAGAAACCATGTATTTAAATAAATACATCACTATAAGTCCTCCCTCCATCCTTTCCTTCTCCCCCTGCCGCGTGTATGCTGTGCATGCTGAGATTAGAACACAGGACCTTACAATCACTAGGCAAGCCCTACTACTAAGCTACAACACCCAGCCCTTTAAATAATGTTTCATTTTCACTTTTTGAGAAAAGTTCTTGCTAAATTATACAGGCTGACCTCACATTTGCCATTCTTCTGGCTCAGCCTCCCGCATAGGTGGGATTATAGCACAACACTGTGCTGCCATGCTACTACTGAATTTCAGCTACTACCAACATTTAACTGCTCAGATCTATACCACCTTCTTTTATGCTCTTGAAGAGCACCACCCTCAATTACATGATATCACTAAATCTTTAGGTGTCACTTACAGAGGGCATGCCCTCCAGTGTCATGAATAAATCAACACAAGAACACATACTTCACACTTCACAGTTGACAGCAAGACTAGCAGGCCTCCTTATATGGTTAAGGGTAGGAAGTGCTGCTCTCTGATCTTTGAGCCAATAATGAAGTTGCAGCTACTCTGGTTTCCACTTGATAGGCCTGTTCAGGCCTGCTTTAAGCCAACACTCTCTGGCCTGGTCACATGTCACCACTGTCAGCCAAACATCTGTCATAGGATAAGCCGTCTCCCTACGGAGCCCAGCATCCATCTAGAGCACACACAGGGATTCTATTCATGGTATGTCTGTTCCTTCATCCTCCTTCCTCACCACTTATTCCTTACTCTACTCAAATCATCACCCCCACCCGCAGCATGCCTCCATAGATCTTAGTCCTATGAGATGTCAGAACACATGAAGGGCACGCGCAAGGACCAACGGCCTTGTTACTGCTGTACCCCGATGTGATCACTGTTTCTGGCCAGATGCTGACAGTTCTTGTTCTGCAGGCTTCAGAAAGACCTGGACATCAGCACCACTCATCTCTTGCAGTGTCAATCTGGAAGCATCTTGTGCAGGCAGGTAGGTGGGAAGACTGCATTTCTTTTGTAGATCTGATCTCACTTTCTTTGAAAGATGAAATATTGCTGCCAGGTCATACCTTCTGGTTGCCACAGTCCTTCCTAGATTAACTCCAAAAGCCTGAGATCTCAGAGACAGATGTCTTGACGAGACTGCCTGATATCCAACAGGAACAAACTGCGTGAAACATTTTAGATATATGCATCCTAACTTGCAATAGTGGAAACCTGCTTTAAAACAAATACAAAGGAAGAAAAGTCAGCAGGTGGGTGGGAAGGATGTGTTCTGGGGCAAGAAGCAAGGAAAGCGAAGAGACTATTGTTTTCATTCTACCAGTTTCACACCACACACATGCTTTTATAGAACTGTGTTTGCGTAGCTGCTTTCTCTTAAAGTGATTTTTTTTATTTTGCTTTTTGCTTTTTTTTTTTTTTTTTTTTTGTACTGAGGGTTGACTGTAGGCCCTTCAGCCTGACAAGCAAGTACTCTACCACTGAGCTGTATCCCAGACCATTTCTGTAGTAATTTAAAAAAAAAGACTTCATTTCATTGCTACCTAATATAAATATTAACAAAATATTCCATCTAGGCAGTTCTAAACATGATTTTGACTGGGAGAGCAAGTCCAAATGTCTTCAATGGCTATGAGAAAGGAAGGTCTGAGGAAACATTACATGGAGTCCTGACCCGCAGTGATGTTGGCTACTTGCAGTGGGGTAAAGACATTTCTGAGGGTGACCGACTCTCACAGGTTAGTGTGTCTTGACGCTTAACTCTATAACCAGAAGGCAAGTATTTTGGCATTTTTAAAAAAGTTTCAATATCAGTTCAAATCTGAGCTTCTTTTTCCTTTTGGTACCTTTGATATACCTCTCTCTCTCTCTCTCTCTACACACACACACACACACACACACACACACACACACACACACACACGGTCTAAATTGAATCATCCAAGACTATCATCTTGGTATTGTATTTCACATATTTTAATGCCTACAAGGTGTATATAAAATAAAAACCACATGTGAAAACACTTACTGAAAATTAATATTTAAAATATTCAAATGGATAGAAGTTTCCTTTCATGCCCAGGCAGCCTCCTTCTCTGAAATACTGCCAGCTAGTGGTTTTGCCCCCCAATCTTTTACCTTTGCAAATGAATGTACCTATTCCTCCTGTTGCTGAACACTTAAAAAAATACTAGAAACAGGACCCCCTTTATGATAGTTCTGTCACAAACATCCTCAGCTCAACGGATATACAATATCTGATAGCCAGAAGGCAAACTGTGTACAAGAAGAGAATAAGGACTGGAGAGTGAAAGGGCAAACACTTTTCCCAGCACATAAACTAAAGAAGCTTAGAGGTTTTCATCCTGACACCTGGGAGAGGCAAGACCAATTCTCTGGGAAAGCAGCACTTCTCTGGAGTGACTCTGACACCACCTGGAAGGCAGTTCCTCTAAGGGAGGCTCCCTTGCCCATCCTTCCTAACCCTGGTGGCAAGGAAGGGCCCCACTCGGTACCTATGCGGCCTGTCAATTCTCTGGTTCCTGCTACAGATAGCCTTCATGGACACGGACTTCTCACAAGGTGTGTTCACATGCATAACCCCGCCCAGCTCTCCGACTGGGCACACCTGCTACTATGTGTGTGTTACTCACAAACCCAGCCTCTTATGCACGTGTCTGGGTGACTGACATCAAGGAAATAGCATCAGCATGGCAGGCTGCCAGCTTTTATGCACAAATGTGCTGTGAATGTCTTCTTGTTGATCCTTAGGTTGTATAATCCAGGTCCATCAGACAAAAAGTAAGAAGTACCAAATAAACCAAGAGAAATTAACCCAATCCCATTAGCCAGTGGTCTGTCTTTTCAGAAATGCTTCCTTTCCTTTTTCTTCCTCACGTATAATTTTATGTTAGTCTCCAGGAATCTTTTTCTAGTTTATCTGTATACATCAGTGAGAATCTGGCCTTTAGTGAATTCCATGGCTGCAAAGAATCCCACTACATGAATGGTAAAGACTAAACTTTGGTACACCCTGGATGAGAAGAGATGGACTGTAGCCATAAAATCCCCAATCACATTTTCTAGAAAATTTTGGGGTTCACTTTGGACTTTAGAAAGTATCATAAAGAAAACTCAGGCAAGTAGCAAGGGTTCATTTTTACACATTTTGCTTTTCTATTAGCCACACACAGTCACTACATGTCTGTGGTCTAATACTGTGTACCTCTCAGAATTAGCAGTGTGCCAAGATTCCGTTTGAGAAAACTGGAGGGATATAGTAGATCACGTTCCAAGGGGTGGAACACAGAAGCGATGGTAATTTTAGTGCTTCATCTATTATTACAAAGTCCTTTCACAATATTGTACTGTAGTTTAAAGGCTGTGCCATGCCCCCTGCCTCACCGGTGCTACTACTGATGTTTTTCCTTAAAACAACGCAATTTTAAGATTGTTTTAACCTTTATTGTAGTGATGATATAAACCAAGCAATTGCTTTTTCTTTGTATACATGTAAACAAATAAATGTTAGTTCTAAAATGTTTTTCTCCCACCGCTGGCTTCCATGCCACATTTCAGCAATGGGCAACCCCTCCCCTGTTTGGAAGCCTCGGTATAAAGGCAAGTCCTACAGTGGTACAAAATGACCCTGCCTGGAAGGCCACAGACCTCAACAGGGGCACTTATTCTGAGCTGACAACTAATGAGCCTTCCCTGACCTTTCCGCAAACAGAATCATGAATCTTAGTCCTCATGGAAGGCCAGAATGTCCTCTGCACAGATAAGACTTGCGGCAGATGACGAAGAATAGCATTCTAATGCTTCCATCAGCTAGGATAATTCAGTATCGCTTAGGTGGAAGGATCCAGATACAAGCGTGAGTCCCATGTGGGCCATACATGACATAGGTTGATGTTTCTAGATCAGTGATTCTCAGCCTTCCTAATTCTGCCCCCCTTTAGTCCAGTTACTCATGTTGTCGTGAGCCCCAACCATAAAATTATTTTTGTTGCTATGTCATAACTGCAATTTTGCTACTCTTACGAACCATAGTGTAAATGCCTGTGTTTTCTGATGTTCTTAAATGCATGCTGTGAAAGGGCTGTTCACTTCCCACACATTGAGAGTCTCAGTTCTAGAATAACCCAAGTGATAACGGCTGCCTAGCAAGGATGTCAGCCTGGCTGCAGACTAAACCCATTCGGAAATCTCTAGGGGAAAAGTGCTGATACCAGGGAGATCCCCCAAAGTCACAACTTCCCAAGTAAAGCACTCATCGTTACATAGAGCTGCACATTGTTACAGGTTTGTTTGTTTGTTTGTTTGTTTGTTTTAACAAGAGTCACTGCTTTTTCATTTTGTAGCGGGTCCTAAGAATGAAAGGCTATTTTTGACTCTGAAATAATGTTTCTTCCTCTGAGGGGCACTGGACACTTGAACTTAAACTTTACAGGTGATCCTAATGGTCAGTGAGGGCTAGAAACCTCTGTCCCAAGCAGGGCAGCTCACCTTTGGACACTGAATACTTGTCACTGGCTGAGGCGCTGTGCTGCCCACTGCAAGCTCTTGGGCAGCACCCACGAGGTGCAGTTTCCCTATCTCCATCATGGCAGTCCAAAACATCTGCAGACATTTGCAGACATTTCCAAATGTCTTCAGGTGGTGAGGGCAGAATTGTCCCTAGATGAGAATTACTGTTCTAAAGGAAGAAGGAAGGAAATTAAAGTAACATCTTTGGCTCAGTGATTAAATACACGGTGTGAAGAACTGGGAAGCCAGCTATCTCAACAGAACCTACAAGAAACAGCAAATCCTTGTCTCAGTGCTGATGAGGTGGACAGCCTTTTGTTCCCGGGTAACATTTGCAAGGCTTTGAGAACAAGCTGCAGGCTTTAGCTGAGGCTAAAATTGAACAGGTGTTTGCAAAGCACCTGCTAAGCTGCTCCGAAGAAAGGGGCCACATCAGAGAAAATGCCACCATGGAGAGGTGGAGCGCATCAGAGTCAAGAATTCATGGGGATCCAGGACTAAACCATGCCCTAAAGAAAATTACCTACAGAGCCTAAAATATCCTCTAATAGGAAGAGTATGTTTGCAAAGACCTTAAAGGCAGTTGAGAGCCCGCAGCACATCCAGAAAAAAATGAGCTCTTTGCTGCTGGGGAGAGGGTAGGCTGCAGGAGCACGGGGGCGCCATCCAAAGGAAGGTTTGCTTGCCAATTGGAAGTAGGGCAGGGCCTGGAGACTGCCTGGGGTCACTTTAAAATCTACGTAGAAACCAAATCTAAAATGCTTCCAGCTTTTGGGAAAGTGACTAATGTGACTTTTCATCCCTCTTTCTCGGACTCAGAGTCCGCTCCCCGGGGAGATGTCTGTGAATGTGCCCTCAGTGAAAATTGCCTGAAATTGTACACTAATGGCTCGAAACCCTGGGGACGTTTATGATGATGTTTCTGTCATGCACTTGGAGTTTGGTTTTAAAAAATGTATTATAGAGCAGCTAGAGGCTGACATTTGTCTTACTTAAGCTTCTGAAATGTGGATATATAAAATACGCATATACACAGTTGATTTTATGTGAAGCATTTTTTTTATTCTATCCATATCATCTTGCTCTCTCAGGACAAAGGAAATTCTTAGCTCATGAAGCATTGATGTAATTTTGCACTACCCCTGGCAGATGATAGCTAGAGGATGTATCATAGGGTAGCTTCGTGCACTGTAGTGCTCATAGCTGTGAGCAGAGGGCACCTAGTTTTGCCAGCCTTCCTACTAGCGATGGATACCACCAATGATGTCTATTCCACTTACATCTCCATGCTTAAATGTGGTTTGTTACGCCATCATTCAGTTAAGAGATTAGAAAGGCCGGAGTGGAGGCAGAGGAGCTTGCCCAAAGCCTTGACTAGTTACGTATCAGAGCGAGGTTGTGAGTTCTGTCATTATCTACACCCGAAGCTCACAGTCTCTGCTTTGCCGGGTCAGTCATTTTTCGATAAATTCTCAGTATGTGAATACCAGTTCTTGGCATTGTATGCTATAGTTATCCCTTTAAAAATCAATCATAAATGCAGATTCATCTTCTGCAACCTTTAGTGTTTGCCACAGATGCACTGCCGGTGGGCTCTAGCATTTACACAGTGGCAAGGATTTTTGTTGTTATTTTTACTGTTTTTGAGATAGGGTTTCTCTGTGCAGCCCTGGCTGTCCTGGAATTCACTCTGTAGATCAGGCTGGCCTACAAACTCACAGAGATCCACCTGGCCTCAGCCTCCTGGGTGCTAGGATTAAAGGCATGGTCTACTACCGCCCAGCATAAGGGTTTTAATGTGTGACAGTTGAGTAGTTTCAAGCTAAAGCTGTTATGAATTTGTGTTGGTACGAATCACAAGCACTTGGTCAGATGCTTTCTCAAGTGTTTCCCCCCATTCAGTTTCTGGAAAGGCAGATTATGTCTATCAGGTATCTACACTCCTCACCTTCATTAGTATAACCTCATCAGTGCCTGGAGTTGTGCTGTACCCATCTGCCCTGGCTGCAGTGAATTGTGAAGTCAAATGTTTCCCAGCCTCCTCCCCTGAAATGGAAACATCTTGTGGAGCAGGCATATTCGCTAGAGTTACTCATACTGCTGGCTTGGATACCCTCCACAGCCAGGGCCCTTCCTCTCTGCTCCAAGGCATGGTAACCTATGGGACCCATAGGTGCTATGGACTGCTTTCAGGACATCTGGTGGGACC